TGGATTATGGAGAAAGCCAAAGAGTTCCAGAAAAACATCTACTTCATTGACTACGCAAAAGCCTTTGACTGTGTGGACCACAGCAAACTATGGCAAGTTCTTAAAGAAATGGGAGTGCCTCACCACCTTATCTATCTCCTGAGAAATCTATATGTGGGACAGGAAGCAACAGTTAGAACTGGATATGGAACAACTGATTGGTTCAAAATTGGAAAAGGAGTACGACAAGGCTGTACAGTGGTGACTCGACTTATGGAATTAATCCGTATTGGAAGGGTGGCTGTAACTTGCACTTTTCATAAGTCAAAGCACTATTTCCCATAGGAATGCATTGAAAACCGATTAATCCGTTCCAGAAGAAAAAAAAAAAACCCAAAAAATGACCACCACCGCTGGGAAAGCCTGGTCTTCCCCACTGCCTTGACAGCCACCGTAGGAAGCCTCCACGGCTTCCAAAGAACCAGCACCCCGCACGGCGGTCGGGGCGGCTTTGGAATTTCTTTTTGCAGCTGGAGCTTTTTGTACCTCAAAATTTTCACAACTAGGAATGTTCGTAAGTTGAGACACCACTGTATATTGTCTCCCTGTTTATTTAACTTATATGCACAATAAATCATGCAAAAGGCCAGACTGGATGAATCCCAAAATGGAATTAAGATTTCCAGAAGAAATACCAATAACCTCAGAAATGCAAATGATACCACTCTGATGGCAGAAGATGAGGAGGAATTAAAGAACCTCTCAATGAGGGTGAAAGAGGAGAGCGCAAAAAATGGTCTGAAACTCAACATCAAAAAAAACTAAGATCATGGCCACTGGTCCCATCACCTCCTGGCAAATAGAAGGGGGGGAGATACGGAGGCAGTGACAGATTTTACGTTCTTGGGCTCCATGATCACTGCAGATGGAGACAGCAGCCGTGAAATTAAAAGACGCCTGGTTTTTGGGAGGAAAGCAATGACAAACCTTGACAGCATCTTAAAAAGCAGAGACATCACCTTGCCAACAAGAGTCCGAATGGTCAAAGCTATGGTTTTTCCTGTTGTGATGTATGGAAGTGAGAACTGGACCATAAAGAAAGCTAACCGCCACAGAATTGATGCCTTTGAATTGTGGTGCTGGAGGAGGCTCTTGAGAGTCCCCTGGACTGCAAGGAGAACAAAACTATCAATTCTAAAGGAAATCAACCCTGAGTGCTCACTGGAAGGGCAGATCATGAAGCTGAGGCTCCAGTACTTTGGCCATCTCATGAGAAGACTCCTTGGAAAAGACCTTGATGTTAGGAAAGTGTGACGGCAAGAGGAGAAGGGGACGACCGAGGATGAGATGGCTAGAGTGCATTTCAGTTTAGGGAGGAGGCTTATGGGAAGCTTCTCTTCTACATGACCAGAAGAGAAGGGAATCTCTTCTACATGACCAGATACCACGTCTGTCCCTGTACTCTGATAGTGACATTACAGGGCTTGAAAACAGTATCACAAAAATAGATAAGGATAAAAAAGAAACTTAAAAAAACTTTGTCAAAGAAAAGCATTTGACAGCAGAATTTGACAGATAAAATTGTCAAGCAATAGATTCAAAGCAGATCTTTAATGTGTACTGTATGAGAAATAGTTGTCGTACCTATACTACTAATTAGGTTGCATTTTTTATAAGCTTCCATGTGAAAAAGTATTTTAAAAACTAGTTCATCGTATAAGTCCTACATTATTATTTCTGCCATATATTGTTCCATAGCTACCTGCCACATTCATTTTGTATGAATATCATTTACAGGGAAATAATATTAATAAAAACCTGCTGTTCTCTAGAAAGGCTTTCCCTCAAAGAGAGATATAGGAATTCAAACCCATCCCCTGACCTAAAGACCTTCCTGCCTACTTCCAGGTGTGTGGGTGCACGGATTCAGTGTGTTAGGAGAGAAATAGAAGGAATTCTGCATATACTCAAGAACTTTTTTAAGTTTTTTTTTTTTACTTCATGTAATACAGGTTTCAGCCGTACTACTAAAAAAGGGTGTGGGACCAGAACCTGCCTCACAGGGCAGAGTAACATTATTTGGCAGCGCTGAATGCACCTGGGTGAGTGGCGCTCCTGAGGGCAGTCACCATTTTATCCAGCAAACAGAAATTCAAACTATGAAGCCTCCGTCACCGTCACTCGTTAAGACGCCGTCATGCCAGGAAATGTTCAATTGAGGGCTGACAGAACAGGACCTAATGCCTTCCTCTCCTTCCTTTGGGCAGACTGAAGAGCTTCCCTTCCTAGCCTGGCGGGAGACTATGTTCCCTTGAGGAACTCCTGCCAGAATTTATAGTTTTAAGACCTCCGACCCTTTTGTCCAGTACTTCCCTCCCTTTGCAACAACGGTCACCCGGAACCCTGCGAGAAGCGCCCCTCCTGCCGGGCCCTCGCCCTTCACTCTCGCGCCGATCCCTCCCTCCTTTTCTCTCCCTCCCGTTCTCCTTGGGACGCAGGCCCGCGAAAGGTTTCCCGCACTCCCTTCTCCCCCCTCCCCCCCGCTCTGCTCTCGCCAGCCCGATCAGACGCTCTTTCAAACTCACCGAGACTGTCAGGAACGGGAGGGGGGGGGAAAGAGGTGAATGGGCATGCGCGCCCGCCTCACTCGCTGGGCAGGCCCGCCTCGTTCGACTCTGCACATGCGCAGTAGGCGCGCCTGAAACGGGAGCGCGAGAGCGACGTGACGTTTTTATTCCATCCTTTTTTTAAAATTTAATTTGAGAGGTTGCTTTTATACAGTCGTGTAGTCAAAAGGAAACACTTTTACTTGGATGTGTGATTCTGGGAACGCATATCCTAGTAGCAGACTGATCCTGTGTAGAGTTAGGCCAGATTATGCCTATTTTATTACGAGTATTTCTTTATCTAGCCTCTTTTTACAAAAAATATTTCACTTATAGTAAATAAGGCTAAGGGCATATCTTTATTTCTTTTTGTTACCCCATATACAGTACTGCGAGACTCAGCTGAGTATAAATGGTGCCAATCTACACCTGGGGTGCTTTCCAGAGAATGATGGCTCTGTGCTGCCCTTTCCCAAAAGCAGGGAAAACAACAGAGGAAATGGAAGGATGAGGTCTTGAGAGAGTCGTGAGACTGTCGGACTAGAGGAAGAATAAATGATCGTTTCAATTATACGTACTTTGCATTAGCTTCAGTAAGAGGCAAGGGGGAGAATGCAAAGGCTTCTTGGAAAAGGTGAAATTTTAGGAAAGATTTAAGGGAATCCAAGCAGATGGTCTCACTGATGCCTATTGAGAGGTAGTTTCAAGGACTTAAAGGCAGGAATTTTCTCCAACATTTTAGATATTCCGGGAGGCCCTTCTTTTGATCCTGCCTGAATATGCATGTTATCACTTGTGGGATGGGGTAAACATGGGTGGACTTGCAAGCTGGAATACATGTGAGCTTCCGTCAGCTCTGGTGTGTGGAACAAATTCCACGGCACAGTTTTTTTTTTAACTCTTAGTGGCTTTGCTTGTTTTTGTTGCCTTGCAGTGGTTGTAAGTCTCTTGAGGGGCACTGCTTTGTAGTGAAAGGCAATGTGTAATGGTAGAATTCCAATAGCTTTATATGGGGTTTCATTTAAAATATAAAATACTTAGTCTTGGCTTTATATTTTTAGTGTCCTTACTTCTTCATTCCTATCCCATCAACTCATTCCAATTCTCCCTTTACAAGTTTGCCAAAATACAAGCTGGTCTATGTTCTGTTCCTTTCTTGACTTGGTTACTGCAGTCTTCTCTCTGCTCTTCCATTACCAGTTGTCTGCCCTGTACTTTACAGACAATATAGCGTAATATAATAATAATTAATCTTAGAGCTGAAAGGGAACCTTTGGGATCAAGTCCAACTCCTGTCAGGGAGGCACAGAAGGGAATCGTACTTCCAACCTCTGGCTCCACATCTAGATGCATAAACCACTGAGTTGTCTAGTTCTATCTAACTGTATGATTGAGTTGTTGCTAGAGAGAAAACAATGTCCTGTGTGTCCACCAGCCAACCCTTTAATGATTAAGAAAATCTCTAATGTTGGTAGCAAATTATACGCAGGTTCACAGGCAAGGAAGATATGCACACATCCAACATAATCTCTTTACCATCAAAGTAATCTGTGGCCTTCCCTAAACACCATTTCTGTTTTATATCCCTATACAATTTTGCCTTTCTCTTTTCCTTCCATGTCTCCTTTCATCAAAATACTTCCTCTTCCCTCAAACTGACCTTTTTCTTTCTTTTCCTGTCCATAAAAAGTTGAACACCTATGTCATATTGCCTCTTTTGTTTCTATCAAATTCTTCCTCAAACTCACCTTTTCTCTGATATCTTTGATTCATTCCTGTATATTCTGCACCATTTGCTATACCAGAACATAAGCTAGCAGTTGTGTGTCAGTGTGGTTTAATGGAATGACCATGTATACTTTACCTGTTTATCCCTGTCTCTGATTTGTTTACTTATTAGTAATAGCTACCATATATTGATTACCGTACATTTATAAATATTTGTAACAAATGTTTTAATTAATAAATAAAATACCTTGTTTTCCACTGAATTAGTTCTCTTCCTCACTGTATCATTATAGCCCTGTGAGGTACCTTAGGCTGGGAGAATACCTGACCTGATGTCACCTAATGTGTTTTATGATTGAATGTGACTTAGAACCTCGACTTAGGGCACAATTCTACTATGTTGTACTGGCCCTCACCTCCTTCCCTTCTCTATTGCTTCCCTTGAGGCTGTAACCTTGTACATAGACTCTGGTAGTACACTTACAACAATATCATTTTGTATATAATTATCACAGTAATTCTTATAATAAGTCCCCTGGAAGAGAGAATATAATTGCAGTCCCCACATAGCAAGTGAGATCAACAGGCTGTTTATCCAACCAATGTTGGATCAACAGCCTTTCATCTCATTCCCTTATCCATAACCACTCTTAAAGCCAGCTTATTGGAGCAGCTTTATAACTGAAGGGATGCTCAATAATCCCCCACATGATAGGTTGTAGGTTTACATCTAAGCTGGCACTTTAAAACAAAAACTCCAGGCACTCTGAATATGTGAATGCAACAACCATGCTTGTCATACAATTACAATAACCAGGGAAGTGATTTTGTGGCGTCCTTTGGTATGGCAAAGCTAATTTTGTTGGTATGGAATATATGGGATGGTCATATAAAGAAATATTACCTTTGCTTTGATAATTCCGGAGTACATATCCACTGAATGTTTAATGTACACAGTGTAAAGAGTTTGGACTCAAGCTTACCATGAACTCTTATATTTTTAAATATAGATACTGTATATATAGTCTCAAAAGTGAAATAGGAATAAAGAAAGGGAAATTGAAACTAAGAAAAAATTCAGGTATCATAGATAATTACATACAACAGGGCATCCAGAAATATTTGTAATCGTACTTTTTCAGATATAAAAAATTATTATGTAGTACCATTAATCATAATATTCAAAAAATACTTTCCAAACATCTTACTTATTTCTGATATTTGAATAGTATCCAGTTTCTTGGTTAAATTACTTTTACTTCTGTTATTATGTTATGAACTCTTTATCATTTGAGTTAGAACATATACAGTCTCTAAACTACCATGCTATCTTGAACACACACTGTGTGATTTTGGATGCTAAGTTAGGTTAAGCTGGTTTAGTAGTTAGATGGGTGACCATCAGGTAATACCAAGATTTCTAGCTAAAACTAGGAAAGAATCTTTCCTCATGCACTAGAAAGCTGCTAACAATAAAAGAGTAGATCAATGGTTCCCAACCTTGGGTCTGCAGATGTTTTTGGACTAAAGTTCCCAGAAGCCTTCACCAATAGCTTTGCAATTCAGGACCTCTGGGAGTTGTAGTCCAAGCATATTTGGGATCCAAGATTGGGAACCACTGGACTAGATGAATGAATGGTGTAACTCAATATCAGGCAGTTTCCCATGTTCCTATATTAGGTCCTGAGTGTAGCTGTTTGAGAGCCAAATACTTTGTGCATGCTCAGAGGCATTCATATTATTCCTCATTCTTTCTAGAAGGTGCTCAGAGCAACTTTAAATACTACAGTTTCAAATCTGATGCGCTTTGGATCAGGGCCATTAAACCTGCTGTCTATAAAACAATGTAAATCATGTCTATACATAGGAGGTAGAACTGGTTTGATTTCTATCCCTAGCTCCCTCCATATTTTAGGATTTGTTGCAAAATTTATTGGTTTTGGGTTTCCACACCTGGATTACCTTGTAATACAACTGAGCAAAGAATTACATTATTATCTAAATCCAAACCACCCAGTTTTTTTCTCCTAAAGGGACAATATTTAGGTTCCCTGTGATTTTTTTATGGAGTTAGGTTTTTACTAGCACTAAAACAGCGTTATGTACTAAAAAGATACAGAGCATTGGTATTATATCCACAGGAAGTATTTTAGTCAGTGAGTGTGTAATGTAGCAGGTAGACATGAACTTACCACGTCTTCCCAGACAGAAGTGGGAACAGCCTTTGCAGCCATAAAATGCACTTAACAGTCTATTTAATAGTGGTGAGGTCCTTGAAAATGCAATATCCATGCTAATCCAGCCTCTCTTTTTCTCTTTCTTAAATCAGAACTGAAATTAAAACACAGAACAATAAGGTAAAGTCTTCCTTCCCACAGCTTATCTTGTGCTATTCAAACAAATTTACTAAACTGTTTTATTCTGTAGAGTTTGGTAAGCAAAGCTGTGAGACCTCAACACATTTTAGTAAGATGAGGAAAGGTGAGGATCTTAAGTTTAAGATTCAGATCAATTTGTCCTTCAACCAAAAGGGATGGTAGGAGACCAAAGTGAGGGAAATCCATTCAATTAGACTAATTTTTTAGTTCCTTTACCATGTATTTTTGTCACAAGAGAAACAAGTTTTATGGGACAATTAAGTTTCACTGAACTCAGTAGGATTTACTTCTGCATAGATTTGTATAAGATTGCACTGAAAGCTACCAGAGAGGAAAACAGTCTGGAACTGAGTAGTAATTAGGATGATGATACATCCTCTTTTAGGGCTACCAAAGGATAATCCTTTTCAAAGTATCCTCCATATGAAGGACCATCTGATCCAAGTCCCATTAAAAAATAAGTCATATACCTTGATTTTTGTCCTTTAACATGTCCATCTTTTCGTACTTGGATAGCAGGCTTGGCAGGTACACAGATCACATGGTCACACCTTTCTCTGCTTGAGTAAGATGCAATGTAATTCTGTTTCAGCGATTTTTAAAAAAAAAATCTGTTCTTTTGTATCTCTATTACTAAGCCTTCACCACTTGCTGTGCTGGCCAGGATTTTTGGGAGTTGCAGTCCATCTGGGGAGCCAAGTTTGAGAACCATTGATCTAGAGCAGCAATCCCCTTCAGAAGCTCTAACCCAAACAGCCAGTGGTCTTTTACTTGAAGAATATCCAGAGGCCCAAATTTAGGAACCTCTGCTGTAGTGTCAAAAGACTAAGCAAGCATATAGTGAACATTCCATAGAGACTGTGATGCAGCAGGAATTCCAAAGTACAGTGGGGTCTCTACTTAAGAACTTCATCCGTATTGGAAGGTGGTTCTCAAGTTGAAAAGTTTTTATG